ATCAAAATACAAAAGGCAGCCCTGACCGGTTTGGCTCAGTGGATGGAGCATCAGCCTGCGGACTGAGGAGTCCTGGGTTCGAGTCCGGTCAGGGGCATGTACCTTGGTAGCGGGCACATCCCCAGTGGGGGATGTGCAGGAGGCAGCTGATCAATGTCTATCTCACATTGATGTTTCTAACTCTCTATTCCTTTCCCTTCCTCTCTGTAAACAATCAATAAAATATATTAAAAAAAAAAATTCTACTAGGCTTGTTCTACCCTAACTAACCAGTTGACTTACTTTCTTCTTCCTTAAACATTTATCAAAGACACTGTTCTAGGCCCTTTGGTTACAACGATAAACAAAACAGACATGACCCTGACTTCATGGAGCTTGCATCTAGAGAAGCTGATGCCAGTGGAAGAATAGCACGTGGCTCCTGATGTGAAAGGAAGCTGCCAGTCCACCCTCTACTCTCCAGTCATGCCCAGATCAGGAGGGTTTCCTGGCTCCTTCAGGCTGTAGTCTCTCCTCCTGACTAACTGACAATCTTCCATTTATCTGATCACAAGGGGGAAAAGGTGCAACTATGTGAGGTGATGATGTTAACTAAACTTATTGTGGTGACCATTTTTATATTCTATAGAATAAAAGCCTAATATGCAAATCAACTGAACTGCAGAATGACCGGTGGGACATCCAGTTGCTATGATGTGCACTGACCACCAGGTGGCAGACGCTCAACACAGGAGCTGCCCCCAGCCCACAGGCCCCAGGCCAGCCAAGGTGGGTGCCAGCAGGGGCCCCCTGATCGCCCCTCCAGTTGCCCTGTAGATTGGCCCTGATCGCCGGTCAGGCCTAGGGAATCTACTTATGCATGAATTTCGTGCATCAGGCCTCTAGTATGTGTATAAAATCATTATGTTGTATACTTGAACTTATACAATGTTAGATATCAATATCTCAATAAAAGTGTGTGAGGGAAGAAGGTAATACAACAAAGTATAATTTTACAGGGTGCAGCAGTTAAATAAATAAAATGACAGCATACCATCTATTATTCTCTAGTTAACAACACTCTTCTAACAGGTTCCATGAGAGCTGGAATAGAGTCTTCTCTCTGTGATATTTCCCAGAGTTTACAGACAGTGCTGGGCATGTGACAGGTTTTAAATAAAAATCTGCAGAAGATAATATTGTATTGTAGTGAAACTAAAGTTCAGGCACATCAAATTAGTTTCCTGTGATCAATCTGCAGTCAAAATATTTTAGAAAGAATAAATCAATAATTTAATAGGGGGAGTGCTTAATGAATAAATGAATGAATAAATAAGTGAATGGTTTTAAAAAATAAAAACACCTAATATTTAATAATGTTATTTAATAGTATCAAAAGCCATATTAGAAGGGTACTGTTTGTATCTCCACTCCATGGATGAAGACTTTGAGGTTTCAAGTTGTTAAAGAACTTGATCAAGGTCACATTGCCAGAGAGAAGTTAAACCAGGATTCAAACCCAGAGTTTGATTCTAGTAGCTCTTAACACCGGTTATGCTGTCCACTAGGGGTAACTCCAGATGGCTCTGGGGATGCATTACTCATATTCAATGTTTTTGTCTGGTTTCTTCCCGGTGACAGGCTTCCAAATACCTTGTCATTTGGTTTTCATGCTAATGTTGCCCCACTTGCTAATTTGAATACAGTTAGCATTTTTTCTTGTTTCCTTTTGAACACTGGAAGGTTAGTCTTTGCTCTCATGAACATAATATGTAGGTTTCCCTTCTCAGCTTCAGGGCTGACCAGAAAATTAGGTGTGACACACAACTTTCTGTGAATACAGATTTAAAGGGGTGTCAACTCATGTGCTCTCAAAACGCAAATACATCTGGGAGAGACAAGTAACACTGTAAATCAAGAAGTCTGTGGCTGGCCTGTCTTCCTTCCTTCATCTGTCCCCTCCCTCAATAAATATTTGTTGAGATAGATTCTAATTGGATCCTAGAGTTTTAAGAATAAAAAAGTGTTCTCTGCTCTCAGGAAGGTCTTGATTCTGGAAGCAGATGAATATAAAAGAAATGCAGTACAGTGTATTAGATACTATGATGAGGCATTTATAAGGAAATCCAAAAGAAAGAAATACACTGATCTACCTGGAAAGGTTAAGTGTAATATTTCTTAAACTTAAAGTTCTTCACATTTTAGGATAAATTGTAAAGTAAGGATGAATCGTAAAGATTATTTTCCAGGAGGTATATTTTGGTGATAGGAGAAGGTTTAGAATAAATGTGAGTTCACTGAAATATTATGGAGGAAGAAAGGGGATGACAGTGAGGAAAAAATTCACAACAAAAACCTGGAATTAAAGCAATAATACTGAACAGATTTCAGAACTGAGCATAGATTGGGCCCTTCTCATATACACGAGTCTGCCCAATTGGCAGGCCACATGTTAAAACACAATAGCAAATAAATCAATAAAAAAATAAAGCTGTATTTCTGTAAAAAGGATTTTATATCTGAAATTCAACAAGGCAAAATAATTGTTTTGATTAACTGACAGTCACAGAGGCAAGTATTTCTTAAAATACCAGGAGTCAGCAAACTTTTTCTATAAAGGACAAAACAGTCAATGTTTTAGTCTTTCTGGGACATACAGTCTGTTTCATTGCATGGCCAGAAAAACAGCCATAGATGGATTGAAATGATGGGTGTGGCTGTATTCCATTAAAACTTGATTTGTAAAAGCAGGTGGTGGGCAGTATTTGGGCAATAGGCCACAGTTTGCTGGTCCTAGGTTTATACCATTTAATAGGCATATTCAAGCCCTAAGTTAGCTAAATTTAGAGGAGGGTTTTGAAGCGAGGCCCCTGGCTCCTGGATGGCCAGCAGGGCCTCAGGCGGAGCTCTTTTTCTGACAATGTGACTGAGCCTGGTGAGCTATCTGAAGGAAGCAGCCCTTTGACCAATGGCAGCTGTGGAAAAGATTAGAGACATGACTAAGAAGAGGGGGAGGGGGCAAAACACAGTGAGACAGAGGATCTTTGTGCTACAGATGGTTAGCTCTTTACCAAAGATTCATGCTTAAAGTGGACTTCTTTTATTAAAAATATATAGATTGAGTGGTCTATGGCTGATGAAAAAAATTACTGCTTTATTAATATATGAATATTTAACATATTAACTCATAGATTATAGTTATTTAGTCTTTTACTTATTCATTCAACAAACCTTGCCTTCTACATGCCAAGTATTGTACTAAGTCCTAAAGAAAGAATATTTAGTAATTCAGGGTTATCACTAGATATCAAGATGTCCAAGTTACCTGCCTCTAATTTCCTGTTTTTATTTTCTGTGAGCTTCCACTATTTCATATTATGTGATTGTGGTGTATTGAACTCCACAGGGCTTTTAAAGTCCTCAAGCCCTTTGACCAAGTTGTTCCTTTGAATTTACTAAGACTGTTTCTGTTATTGCCTCACAAAGATTCTGCATGTCAATAAATACTGCCTGCACATAATCTTTTGCAAGTGGCTTAATGTGTCACTATCACTTAGCCTTTATGTCTGCTAACTCCATCTTATAATCAGAGCTGGACACAGACTTCACCTGCTCTGGGAAGCATTCCTTGATTAAAGACCTTCAGAAATAAATCTCCATCCATGATGCCTTCTCTAATCAAGCATGTACTCAAAATCTTACTCAGATGCTTCATGGGTCTTCAAACATAACATGTTCAGACTTGTAGTCAAGACCTACATCCCATCTACCCTTGTCCTCCTCCTCTGCTCCCCTCAATGTTACTTAGATCAGCAAATGGAACCATTTGCCACCCAGTGGTACAAGCCAGAAGCTTGGAGATCATTCTTGACAACTTCTTTCCCCTCACCCCTTATGGTCTATAATTTGCAAAGTTTAGGTGATTGTAGTTCTTAAATAGCTCAGCATGACCTCTTTCTAACTCCACTGCCTCTATCACAGCCTAACCTACCAACTTCTCACACCTGAACCTTCTAATTGTTCTGCTGGAGTCCACTCTCATCTAAATCTCAAGTCTACTCTGTATCCAACTGATCACATCAATCCATGCAATGATTTCACACTGCTCTTTGGGAAAAGAACAAATGCCTAAACATTCTACCAGACTCTGTATGATTGACTCTAATCAACAACTTCATCTTTCTCTCAGACTACTCTCTGTTTCTCTTTCTATGACACATCTAAATTAGGTGTCATTTTAGAGTTTTATTTTTGTTTGAACCTGTGGAAGATTTGCATGAATGGTCCCATTCTTCCCCAACTCTTGTTTCCATGCTATTTGCCATGTAACATTTCAATGCTCTCCCACTGTTGTTGACACATAATTTCCTTCCCCTGAGTTCAGCCATGTGCTTTGTTTGGGCCAATAAATTAGGCAAGATAAAGAACTCAGGCTCCAAGAGTCTTGCATGTTTCTGCCTGTTCTCTTGAACCTTTCCCTTCACCATAAGAAAAACAAACATGATTCTGGAGAACCAAGATGGCGGCATAGATAAACACCGGAGTTTGCTGCCTCGAACAACCACTTCAAAAATATAACTAAAAGACAGAAGGGACATCACCCAGAACCACAGGAAAGCTGGCTGAGGGGAAATTCTTCAACTAGAAGGAAAGAGAACAGCATACTGGGGCTCAGAGGAGGCGCAGTGCGGAAAATACAAAGGGGTGGAGGTGCACGCTGCGGGCTGATGGCTGAGGGCGCTGG